ATGTTTACATTATATAATGTCTATCTATCATACAATTTACACACCTAAGCTTAAAGAGGTACCTAATGTTGAACATCATTGATATCACATTAATTCCTATGGAGACAATAAGACAAAATACTTACTTTTGCTTGATACTTTACCGCGATAATACATAGCCAATGGTTGTGCAATAAATATTAAAGATTGTATATTTTTTATCCAAATGTCGTGAATACCGAAATCATTGGACCACAAATCATTGTAGCTCAATTTGAGTTAAAGCCAATTATGTTCCAAAGGCTGGAAACCATTAATCAATACTTAGATGCTTTTATTGATGATCCTCGTCTCCTTTTGAGACAATTTCTAGAAGTTACCAGCAATTTCAAAATCCTCGGGGTCAGAAAAGATGTTTTTAGGTTGAGGTTGTTTTCATACTCTCAAAGTGGTAGAGCTAAAAGTTGGCATAACTCATTGGAACCAAATTTCATAGCCACATGGAATGATTTGGCGGAGAAGTTCGTAGCCAAGTATTTTCCTCCTATCAAGAATGCCTATATGAGGAATGAGATAACATAATTTAGGCAAGGGGAAGATGAATCCTCATTTGATGCTTGGGAGAGATTTAAAGAACTCTTGAGACAATGTTCCCACCACGGGATACCCATTTGCATTCAACTTGAAACCATCTATAATAGTTTAGTCACATCTTCAAGTAACATATTAGATGCATCGGTGGTACATTGTTGTCTAAGTCTTATCAAGAATGGTACAATTTGGCATAAAGTATTACTGCCTATTACGTGTGGCGAAACGGGTCAGCCTGTTAGGTATGGTTGTTTTGCCAACACTTTTTTGTGAGGCGGACTATGGTTTTAGGCACACACCCTTTAATGTGTCTGCCCCCTTTTTTTGAAAGCTTTTGCAGGCGCGTGCATTAACATAAAACTTTATGATTTTAGACTTAAAATTTATAGTGCCCACGAACCCGCCCTGCCCTGCCCTTTTTTTTGCGGAGCGGGCCATGATTTTAAGACTGATCCCTCAACTATACTGCTTTGTCCCATTTTTTTACAGACTTTTGTGGGACAAACCTAAATAGGAGAGACATGCTCATTTGCAACCTCTATTGTCAATACTTATCAATGGTCAGTCACTAGAGCATTTATAACTATGGTCCTAAAGAAGTCAGTTGGTGTTCATAAATATTTGACAAAGGGGCTTCAAGCAAAAGAGGGAGTGAATTATAGTATTCAAAATTCACGATTATTTTAGAGTTTTTATTACTTAAGAAGAAAATTGTGTTAGTATTTCAAGATCAGAAAGAAAACCAGCTGAAAATATTAAATTAAATGACAAAAAATTAAAAGATAAGGGATAGAGAGATGACACAAGAGAATTATCCAAGTTCAGTCGAATGTGGGCCTACTCTTGTCCCCAAGTACTTATTGAGATTTGACTATAATATTGAGCTTTTGTAGGTTATGCCCACAAATCTTTGATACAAACGAATCAGTTGATTTCACACTAGCTTATCCCAACCAACATAGAGTTTTTCACATGCTAAACTCACAAACTGAGTAGAGATTTTATAGGCTGGTCTCAATAATCAAACAAAAATTTTCCAAACTGAGTTCTATAACCAAACCGATATTTCGCAAATGGTTGATCTCAAGAATCAAACTTAATTATGCAAGAGTATCACACTTTTGAAAATAACAACAATGGCACGACCTCGGTACAACTTTTTTCTCACAAACAGTTTTCACTCACAAGGCACTAAGACAACTTTGGTGAAAAAGAAAACATTTAAAGAGAGAGGGAGAGAGAGTGAATTAGGAAAATTCTGAATTATGGTGTGTAATAAAATAAGGAGAAGTCTCCTTTATATAGGAAAAAATTTGGCTCAAAATAGAAATAATTCATGGGCCTTACAAATGACCTAATCGACTAGGTACTTGCAATAATCAATTATTTATGCAGAAAACGGAAAGTTTTGATATAGATATGTTATCAATCATTAAGAGTGTCATAATCAATTAGATTATTCAAAATGTCATCTCAATCAAGCTAGCAACCCCTTAATTAACTGGATAGGCCTTTAAAATTGTTTTAGGTAATTTGTTAGGTAAAGAAAGACTTCAAAAAATATTTTATGTATGTGTGTCAGTTGCCTTAGTATCTTAAGAGTTACTCTCCTACTTTCACAAGATTTTCGTCACTCAGATAGACATGACCATGCAAACTTTCACACTTTCTCTCTTTCACAACTCTGAACTTTCAAGTTCATTTGCAAGATATACCGATCATATAATCACTTCACTGAAATCTTGAATCTTCTATTGGACGAAGCTTGGGATCTCTTCATGTTAATTGCCATCATCCGAGAGTTATAAGAATATCACAACCGACTTCAATATTCATCAGCGTCGTTATCATCAAAACACTTTGAAGATAGTCGGCAAGATCATTAACTTCATACCTGAAAGCACATAGATCCATATTCTCCTTATTTTTTATGATGACATTGCATCTCTCATGAGATGTGGTAATGGAGAAAATAGATGGGAAAATTTGTAGAGTGGTTGAACTCCATCTCACATTAGTAGAGAGTTTACTCCACTTTCCTTAAGAGTATACTTCTCTCTCTTTGACATTGTCAAAAAGACAGAAAACAAATAACACATAGATCACATATTAACATTCTAAAAAATGAAAGAGGAAGAAGGAGAAGAGGCACATAGGCATACTAGTCGATGCCTAGTTGATTTAAGATTTCTAGTTTAATTCTTATGAAAAAGAAGTTTTCTTTAGCAAGTGGATTTGTAAAAATATCTGCGAGTTAATTATATAAGATCACAAACTCAAGTATGTGTTTCTTTTTTTCAACATGATCCATAATAAATTGGTGTCTAACCTCAATGTATTTTGCCTAAGAGTGAAGTATCGATTTTTTAGTGAGGTTTATAGCGCTAGTGTTGTCACATCTTATCAAGACAACTCTAAGATTAACATTATAATCACTAAGTTGTTGTTTTATTCAAATAATCTAAAGGTAACAACTACCCGCAACAACGTTTTCTACCTCAACTGTGAATAACGCGATATTTATTTATTTCTTAATATGTCAGAAGACAAATGAGTTCCTAAATAAGTGACACGTACCACTAAATTTGTGTATCCAATTAATTCTTATGTGTCAGTGAGATATCTGATGATGCATTTAACCACACTAAAATGTGATTCTTTTGGGTTCATTTTTAGTTGGAAAGCAAGTTTCAAGAATATTTTATGCTACTCTAACTTTTTGCAAGTGATAGTTTTTTTTTTTTTGAAATTTTAGCATCAGGCTTTTTGACCGATTAGTCCGAAATGCTCAATCTCACTGTCCACTAGCAAAGACTCCATCCACCGTTTAGTGCATAATGAAATTTTTAACATGTGGTAGCTTATTAGGGTATTTAGGTCTAAGGATGAAGTAATCTCAATTCAACATATTTATGACAATGTTTGTGCTAATATTCTTGTCAAAAAAAAGTTGTTCGTAATCTCTAACCGCTTTACACGAACTTTTCATGAGTTATTCTCAGCGTTGTTAGCTGACATTTAAAAAAAAAAAAATTTAAATGTAGTTTATGTTTTATTTTCTCATGCAACCAAAAAATTATACTCCAACTTTGAATGACAAATACGTATATTTGAGTACAAAGCTTCATCTTTTGTCTTTGTTATAACTCAACAATTTTCAATTTCAAACACTGAAACTTTTTTCCTTCATAAATGCTTTATCTATAAGCTCTTTTTCGAAAGAAATAAAATCAAACAAAACCTTCATCCCTTTAATACAAACACAAACAGGGATCATACTATATGAACATCAAACTGTAAAACAAGTCTTCAAATTAATTACGATGGAAAAATTGTTTAGTTTGTACATCAACAGGTAGAAATATGGTGGCTGCCTTGACTTCTTGTGACAGAGGGTCAATGGGTAGCACCCCTATTAGTACCAGTATAGAGAAGTTAAATCACATTTTGTGCATTTCATTGAATGTTAAAACCATATTTTCCTTCCGGGCATGGGATGTTCAAATTAGCTATTAGTAATGTAGAGTCGAAGTTGTCGAAGATGAAGATGCCCACTCTTCAGAAACCATTGAAGCATTGCAGATTGAAAAAAAAAAAACTGCAACTCTGCTATAGAACAGATTACTTTAATAGACATTCTATTGAGAACCAAAACTATCAATGGCTTTAGCTTATAGGTGAATTAACATAACAGGAACAATAAAAAACATAATAGCTGCAATTTCATTCTATGTATCTAAACATAGATATAAAATACAGTCTCAGAATAATTTTAATGCAGACAGGTGCAATTTGACAAATATGTACTTCTAATTAACTAATACCACTTCCACGTATATACGTTTTTAAGACCGTGATGAAGACATAATTAGCAGGAAATGACGTAATTATCTTTTAAAACTGGAAAAGCTCAATACCAATATATTTAAACCGAACTGGCGTATACTATCATGTACCCAGAATAAAAACAGCCACATCTTTTTGATAGTGATATTCCGTTCAGAATAATGCATGTAAGATAATTATGCACTCCCCTTCCTCTTTTCTATTTCTCTCATACTCAAAAGGATTATCTTTGTATGGATCTGCACAAGTATGAATATTATATCTAACCATTAAAAGGGCGACCCATTTCATGAGATGGCCACTACGTGGGGTTTTTGTAGCACTACTGTTGGCATCGAGAAAAGAAAGACTGTTTCCACTTTTCACCAGGGACCACTAATGTCACAAGGCAACAATAGTACTTGTTTAATCAAAATTTACATCGAATCAATACTTTCTCAATGCTACGCGTATCATCTAACTAGAAACGTCAGATGTGATATGGTAATGATTTTTTTTATGCATTGATAAATAAAATAAAATTATAATTATAATTGAAATAAATGTTCAATTACCAAAGCATTGTATTCAGATGTCAATATACATCATGAATGTGTTCTCCGATCAACAGAAACTTCAATGAGCCTCTCTTCTTCATCAGGTTTAACTGTTAATGGCATATCTAAGAGCATATTTGGTGGGGCAAAATACATGTGTAAAGACATCATACAAATAATAATTCCCAAGAACAGCTGCAAAGAGAAGAAAAAATATTATTATCCAGTCAAGGCCTGTCAACAATGACACAAAAGGTTTCAAACAATGATACCAATATTTAATTTCAACAAAAATCCGAACGAAAAGGCCACTGCATGTAATAAAATCTATTTTAATTAGAATAATCAAATCAAATATATTACAAAATTTAAGAATGACAGATTCTAAACTATAGCAGCAGCAAACATCTTTGCATATCCTGTAAAACATCATATGAGTATATCATCATGAGGTGTCTGTCTTAAATTTCAAATTACGTGCAGTAAAATGATTTGACCTCAATTTTAGAACATAAGGGGAGAATACAGAGTGGTTGCATACAAACTTTGGCCTTTGCTTGGGCAGGAATTTACCTGCAATGTAGGTTTGAAACTGAAGAGGAATGTTGATAGAATCATTGTAAGCAGCATTGCCATGGATGTGGAATAGACCTAAAGAAGGCAGACACGGCTAACAGTTATGGAGAAAAAAGAAGAGAAAAAACATAAAAGGACCTTATACAGATTATTCAGTGGAAAAGAAATTTCACATAATGAATTCATCAAATATATGAAGTATGTAAATATACAAGAGAAAAAAGCTTGCAACTAGCAAGAGGGTTGAAAGTTATACCTTAACAATATTATCAGCGTGTTTCATTAACCATGAAACCAAAAGACCGGTAGACCCTAGATTTAATACCACCAACCAGGTGGTGACAGTGTATCCATTAAAAATGCGATGCCACCAGGGCCCATTTTCAAAGCCACCTCTGAAATCATCCACAATAAGCTTTGCCAGATTGAAAATTGAACCAAACCTGGAGAAAGAAACCCATTTAAAGTGTATTCCTCTTTGTAGAGAACTAAAAACTATCTGAACATAATCAAGCAGTGCTTGTAACATCATCCAGGAATGTGAATTTGGTTTACAGAGAAACACATAAGTTACAACTTCCTACCAAATCATTTTCAAACAAAAAAACTAAAAAAATATCTAAAAGAGTACATCATGCTTATGTTGCTGGATATTCCAAAAATAATAGAAATTCAACTCTATTAAACATAAAATAAAGCAACCGGAAAAAACACAACCCCTATTACACACACACAAAAAAAAAAAAAAGACAAATTAAAAGAGTATAGGAATTAGAATCCTACGTAGAACGGACAATGTATATTAGTATTGGCCATGCTCCTTCTTAGTCAACATGAAAACAGAGCATTCATTTCTTGATGCATGTAATAACCATGTTCATTTGATAGTGAAAGTAGCACAAGAAAAAAGTTCATTTGATAGTTGAAAAGGGGAGATAAAACGGATAAGAAATTGCTTTTGAAATAAATAGTTCAAAAGATTAACACAATGGCAAATGTATTTACATGGCTATCTAGAGATGTGACACGATGACAGATTCAAAAACAAACAAAAAACCTACGTGTACAACTGTATATTCTGCCAGTATAAGGTGTCGTTGTTTTTCTTCATCAAAAACTCAGTATAAATTCCAGCTAATGCTGAGAGACAAGCAGATAGAACTCCTAACATGTAACCCTGAATTGGTGCCGAGAAAAGGGAGTCACAGGAAGCCTCTCCACAGCCCTTGACCTAAACAATAATCAATATACATTCCATCTCAATAACATTTTTTTATCATAGGGCTAACTATCCCAATATTCATTCCATAAAAAAAAAAGAACGACCGCTTTGTATGAAACGATAAAGAGAAATATTTTCAAAATTAATGTAATTGTGATGTAGCCATTTAGGAAATTTATCCTTAATTTCATGTATTTGGGGTTCAAATCCCTTGTATTCTAACATGCAAGTTCAGTGCAGCTCTTAGGTCCAGTTCTCATGGTTATTTCAAGGAAATCTCAACTACTAACATGCAAAGATATCAACAGCCTTGTTGCATTTGTAAGACATTTTGTCACTCCGTTTTATTTTCATTCTAAATGGAAGCCAATGTCGGGTCAACATTCTTTAAAAACTTCCTAAATCTAAGAATGTGCTTCTCAAATTCTCATATTTGAAGCTATAAGGATCTTAGCAAGTTACAATTATCACTCTAGAACAAATCTTAAATTAACAACTTCTCAACGCAGTTAAGTATATTATGACTTAATATCACCTCACCAGCACAGTTACAATTATAAATAAAAAATAAAAAATATTGTTGGGAGGAGGAATGTCAACTGTAGAAAGAGTGCATATAAGGTGCCTTCCAGAAATCATTTTTGCTTAATGAAAACAACACTAGAAAATGTGAGACTTATGTAATGTAATATACTCAGACCTACTGTAATAGAGCTATATAAACATCTGCAAACATTGAATTTTTGAGTTCACGATGTAAAGCTAATAAACAATGCATAATGCTTAGATATTGTCTTATATAATACCCTAAAAGCCAGATAAATTAATAAGGCTGTAAAATTCGTGGACCTGACTTGTGGTTGTTCCAACCGCCAACAGCATAATGGCCATCCACTGCAAGTTGGAAAGCTTCCTCCCCAAGAAAAGCCTAGAAATAACCGTCTAACATTAGCCCTAACTAATTAAGAAAGAAAACACAATACAACAACTGAGAGATTCAAGTTGAGTCTGAATCCATAACCAACAAAAAAAAGCAATGCACCTGAATAATATTCCAGTAGTAACAATCTTCAAATTACCCATTATCTGATAAGTGGAAGTGTCGACAAAAGTGAGGGTAGCAAACTGAACATTATTATGAATGAGATATATAACAGACGGAATCGGATACAGAGAAACTGTTTTCCACTCTGTTGTCATCTTTGGAAGAGGTGATTTTTGACATTCCTTCCAAAGTAACAAACTTGACACAGCAAGCTGAGAAAAAAAGAGAGCAAATTCAACGATGAAACAAAATCTATGTAGCATCGACACTTCTTAAAAAAGACGTGTCTGTGTCTGTGTCCGTGTCATGTCGGACAGTTGCACTGACACCGACACTTGTAATTAAGTGTAATTTATTTATTTTTTGAAATTATTACCAGTGTCACCGTACCAGCGTGTCAGGGTTATTTTTTCGGAGTGTCCGTGCTTCATTGCGTAAAATGAGAACTAACTAGTTAGCTACAAAATGAAGATTATGTACCTTAAAAACCTCAGCGAGAAATGGTACAGTTGCATAATCATACTTATACGTTCCATTGGTTTGCGAGAGGGATGTTAGTATTCCCTGCAATGTAAAATTGTGAAAATTGAAATTAAAATCGACAAATTAAGAAATGAAATTGATGAGATTAGGGTTTAGCGGGAAATGGGGAAAGTGAGTGTGACCTGAGAACTGGTGAGAACGGTGAGAAGCGTAGCGACTAAGTACCACTGCATCTTCTTCTACTTCGCTAGATCCACACTCGCTCAGTAAGGAAGACGAGTCTAAACTAAACGCACCGTTTTACTACCACCTTCGATGTCTATATTGTTTTAAGATTTTGTTTCTCGTTGCGTTTAGATAGATTTTAGGGGTGTTTGTTTTTGTTTTTTTTAATAAATGGATTTTTTTTAAAAATAAATTTCATAAAATTGTTTTTTAAAATATTATAAATTGTTTTATAATTATTTTTTAAAAAACTAATTAAAGTACAATTTTTTAACTGTCATTCTTATTATTTTCTAATGAAGATATGACAAATATATTAAATATTATTTAAAGAGTAAAAATATAAATAATTTGTATGTATGTAAAAGAAAATTATACACTTAAAAAATTGTAACTAAATTTTATCATTTTTTAAATTGAAAAATTAATTTTAATATATATTTAAAGATTGAAATATTGTTGAAATCATAATTTTTTTAAAATTATATTTCAAAAATAATTTTATAAAAAATTATTTAAAATAAATTTAAAATTAAGTAATTTTTTGAATTTTGATATCTACAACGTTTTAATAAAATAATGAAATATTTTAAATAATATTTTAAAAGTAATTATTCAAATTAAATTTTTAATTAAAATTTTTATAAAAAATTTCTTTATAAATTTGTTTACATAAAATTATGTTACATATAAAAATCATTTAAAAATAAATAAATGGACCCTTATATTATTTTCCCACTTCAATTTTTATTTTAAATTTTATATATATATATATATATATATATATATATATATATATATATATATATATATATATATATATATATATATATATATATGTATATATATACTTTTTTAACATAAAAAGTAGAGGAAATAAGAAATGTATTTCGTAAAGTAATTACAATAACATCAAATGAGCGAAGTATGTAAATGATATTTTAAAATCAATTATATAATATAATAAAGAATTAATTTTTTATTGAAAGAGAGAGTAACATGTCCACTAGATTTAAAATATTTATTTATTTATTTATTTTAAAAATTTCTCATGACTCTGTTCGCGGGAGTTTCTTGCGAACAATCTCTAACCTCTTAATTAAAGATTACTTGTATGATCACTTATAGAAGTCCTAAACTATCGTATTAAGTTTGACAGTATTTGAGTGCTTGACAAGGCGCAAAGAATACAAATAAGAAAACAAAGACGAGTAAATGGTAGATAAATGGCAAGACTTGAATAATAAACAAGACTTATAAAGATAAAAAATGCTCTGAATTTAAAGGTGGACACAATCGTACATTTCTCAGAACTGACTCGTTTCTGTATGCGCTGGTGTTTTAAGTGTTCTCTTAAATGTTAGAAAATGTGACCACTAAAATGGATATAGTACTTCGCTTAAATAGATGCTAAAAATATAATTGTCAATTGTCACTTGAGGCACTCATGTTGACGGTTCATGCATCACTACTTTTGAAACTCCCACGTCTCGCTTAATACCCATCGTTGATAACCGCTTTTATCGCCACCTACTTTTGTTCTCGACCTGCCTAGTTGTCACCAACTTCGCTTCGCTCTTGATATTATCTCGTCGAATGTTTTTTTGGGTGTAATTCCTGAAATCCTGTCGACATGCCCATGGATCTTTGTTGATGCTCCTCTTTAACGAAGGATATCACCAAACATGTGGCATAATACTTAAGTCGAAACTTTGTTTGTCAACAAATTGCCTTCCAAAAGGCCAAGTTTCGCAGGAGGTCCTGTCGAGTAAGAACTTTGGCATTTTCAACTTTTGAATTTTAGACTGCTAGAACAAGATTTGGTTCTTCAATTTTATCTTTGAGTTTTGATGATAACAAATGAGTATGTTTGTATGAGCAATTTTGGTACCTTAATGTTTGTTATTTTTAAGATTTAACAAACATGTTCTACTTCTAATAAATGGCGCTGCCAAGACATTAGAAGAGAACAAGTTCTGCTTATATGCTAAACAAGTTCTGATGAACAATAGTGTGATACGGTGGGAGAATTGACTTAGATGTTTTGCGTTTGATCGCAAATGTTGCGGATAGCAAGAGTCGCCACTGATTTTTTTTTATCCAATACAGGAAAGGATGAAAAGAACAGGAAAGACCTTTTGAGAATTTTTCTTAGTTCGGGGGGTAGGTTATGAAAAGGGAGGTGTTAGCACCCTTTTCATTTGTAGTTATCTACGAGCACTTAATTGCTAGCTCAATTTGAAATGCTTTGTGTTTGTGTAAGTTTGAAAATATCTTGAAAATGCCTTAGTCCGGCAAACTTTACAATGATTCTCGTATCGTTGAGAATGTATACAAAGTGTTAGTTTTGAAAATATTTGTTTGAAAGGGAATGTTTGGAAAGATGTTTGAAAATGCCAATGTAAGGTTATTTTGTAATGATTCTCGTATCGTTGAGAATGTATACAAAATGTTTGTTTTTGAGAGATGTATGAAAGTGTGAGGTGTTAAATGGGTTTGTTTGTGAGCAAGTAGTTACGAGCAATCTACCTACTCAAAGAGTCTTTGTTCTTTTCCTCCTCATTTAGATAGTGCTTGCCTACCATTTAGTTGGTAGAGAGCCATATCATTGGATGTGAGGAACAGGCGTGGGTCATCGTACAATCATAGAAAGCAACTTGTAAGATGTTTTAGCAATTGTTGTAAGGGACTAATATCGTTTTATCAAAGGCAATATCGAAGGGTCGTCGAGTGACTACGATCTTTTAATCGAGGGTCTTTTACTAAAACATCCCATGTTCGAGGGACATAACTGTTTATATCTGAGGCAATGAGTGTGGGTTATCCTAGAGGTGCATGTGTGTAAAGTGTTTAATTTCAAGTATATTATCTTTGAATTAGGGTTTTATATGATTTGATTTTAAGTCTTGTCATGCAAACCCTAATTACTAACAATAATAAGGAAAACGCTAAATTGCGGAAATTAAATGTCCTACGCTATTACAACACTTTGGGAATGGGGAGTACAATTTGTGAATAGGGGAAGAAAGCAATAAAGCCCTAATTATCTATTGCAAACCATTGAAAATGAATAAAATGTACAAAATGTAAAGAGGAAGAAGGAAATTGTTTTTTAGGGTTTTTGATAGGAAAAAAGTTTTATTGTTAACTTAATTAGACTAATTAATTTTATTTACAAAATAAATTAATTATTATTTAACAAAACTTAAAATCTAAGTTAATTGAATTTTAAGAAGAAAATAAACCTAAGTCTAATAATTTGTTTAGAAAATAATTTTAATGTTTAATACTAATATCAAATTGTAAAAGAAATAATAAAACTAATTTAATAAAATAAAATATTTATATTAAAATATTTTTAGTTTAACTATTTAAGAAAATATATTTTTATATTTTTGGGTTAAATAAAAATAAATGAATAAATGAAATATAAAAAATGTAAATAAAAATAAAAAGAAATGGGTTGGGATGTTTGAAAAGAAAAATGGGGGTTAAGAATTAGTAAAAAGGCCCAAGTCTATTTTTGTTTGAAAGTCAGAAAACAAAATAAAAAAAATTAAAAAATAAATCTTTGCGCATGCGCTGTTTTTTAGTAGAAAGGGGGATATTAGAAAGAAATCCAGTCAAAGGCCCAAAATGAAAAGTCCAGCGCCTATTGATCTTGTAAGGATGGCCTTCTAGGGTGCATCATAGTCTTGCATTATAGAGCGTTGTATTTGTTGTACCCCAATTTTTGCCCCTAAGATCCCTTCATCATACCATATTGTTTCAATCACAACAAAATCACATTAGGGCTTTTGGTTCTTCTCCCTATCTTTAGCTTTGCTTTGCTGAGGAATTACCAAGCACCTTAACTTGTGTTCTTTTGTGATCATGGATATTTTGCTTTGATTTTCTCTCTAATTAACAAAATGCAATATTGGTTTGTCTTGCTTGTTAATAATGTAGGTAAAGGCAATGAGGTTTAGCAAGTTGCTTCATGGGTTCATGAGTTTATTTTCATGCCCTAGTCAAAAGTTTGAGAAATTCAAACCTTACCATTGAAGTTGTTTTAAAGTTGGTATGGAAGTGTTTTAGGTGGCCATGAGTCCTCCTCATAATCCTCACCAATCTCTATTCACAAAGGAAGAATATTGGCACAAAAAGTTTGTTCAAACTTGGCAAAGTTCCACCAAGCATTCTCTTGATCCAGAGGCTAGGGTTTTGGACTTCAAAGGGGCATATCTTGCTCATCTTTTGGTATTTTTGAGTGATTCCAAAAACATTCTTCTCTTCAAAGAGTTACCAACAAATCACTTCAAAAGTTCCAAGGAGTTTTCATGTGGAAGGAACTTGGTGAAGAGGGAAGATTACAAGTCATCTAGATGAATCCCCAATTCTCCATATGTGACTTCAAATGGTCATAATTTGGTCAATTTTTATCACCTTGAGCCCATTATTTTTTCATTATGATCCTAAGGGTGTGTACTTCATGCTTTCTTTTATGTGCAAAGTAAGAAAATGGATGGAAGTTGCCTTAAGAATGCAAGAGATTATAGGTCATTTCATGATTTTTGGCCAACTTCAACAAGTCATAACTTGCTCAATTTTTGGAGATTTTGAGTGGTTCAAATTGAAAAATGTCATTCAAGAGATCTACTTCATTCCATCTTTTTTGGTCAAGAGCAAATTCTAAGTGGAAGGCCATGTTTGGATGCAAGAGATTATAGGTCATTTTTAAAGAAGAATTTGAAATATTTCTAAGTATGGAAAGTCAACTCTTTTTCTTCAACTTTGACTCCATGTAACTTTCGGCTCAAGCATCCATTTGATTCTATTCTTTTTCTATTGTAAAGCTTGTTACCTCATCTTTCCAAAGCATAAAAAATTATGCCCTAAGACCCCTTGAGGAGAAAATGCCATTGGACTGAACTTGGTAACTTGGAACTGAAGTTTCTCCTTAAGTCAGAATTTGAAATTCATGTTTTGGCCTTTAAACATCAAATTAGCACGTGTTTGTGATCTAAAC